CAATGTTATTACCCTTATTGCATGAGTAAAGGACAGCAGAACTTTTCTCAGTGTGCCTCGCTTGAGGGGGTCACCCTAAACTGAACCTCTTGCAAAGCAAGGGGGTAGGGATGGACATATCAATGGTGAGTGGATGAAAACAAATGTTCCTAACCGGTAGAGTGACCACTGCTTAAAGAGTCCTAGACACTTTTTGACCATCCTTGTCCAGCATTTAATGATAGAGCTGCTTAGACTCAATTAAGAGGCCTTGGCTCCAGTTGGTGATTCCCAAAGCTGCTGTCATTGCTCAACAGGGCTAAGGTGCTGGATCTGGTATGGGATTAGGTAAAGGCAACAGCAATGTCAGCAGCACTGAGAGGTGGAAGTGGTGGCAGAGAGACAGCAGTAGCAGAGGGGAGGTGACTAGCAGCGAGTGGTGAACCACACCCTCTCATGAATACACATGTGAACTCTGGGTTTTGGCTCACCGAGGACCACGGCCAGTGAGCGGAGGGAAAGGGCAGTGGGGTGTTCAGGGACATCAAAGGTGAGACATGAAGACAAAGAATGCTGCCCATCCACTTTGAGGTGGGTGTTTGCCTGGGGTCATCTGCTTTTGTATTGTGGTCCTGGTGTTTTCCCAAATTAATGTTGGACTCTTTTCCCTTTTAATCAAAGTTGTATTTTGTTGTACTCCGATTCAGAGCTGGCGAGAGCAGAAGTACAGCCACTTAGAGGCTCCCAGGGGGAGGGTGTTTAGATTTCCCAGATTACTCACTGGGGCCCCCAGGCAGTTTTATTGTCTGTGAAGAGAAATCCTTAAATATAGAACTCAGCCCTTCTTGCTGCCAACTCCACCTGGCACAAGGGTTGCACTAATCTATAGCTTCATGTGAATAACACGATTGTATCCCCTGCATTTGCGGCTCCATACCGGTCAGCGACAACCCCAGGGAAGCATGTTCTCTGGTTCTCATCCACTTTGGAATCATTCTGTAAAATGAACTTCTGTTGCTCCTTGTAAGCACGAATCACATTGCTCCCTTGGAACGTCTCTGAAATGTGGGAATAGATCGGTGAACGACTAGCAGCTTCCAGGCGTCTCACTTGACAGGAGGTGGCAACATAGAAGTTCTGAGACACAGGGAAATGGAAAGGGTGGATGATTACCAGTATGTTTCCTAGACATGGCTAATTCATCAGGGGAACTGGCCACATTCATAAAATTTGAAATGCTGCAAAAAATACAGCAGTGCACATTAACCTGATGTTGTAAAACCTGGTGTGTGGGCAGCATGTGCTCTAATGCGTATGGGATGAAATAGTGCACCTTTATAAGGCCTGGTATGGAACTTCTAGTCTGGGTAAATGCAGGGCTGGACCGAGCCATTCCAGCACCCCAGCCAGACAGTTTAATTGCGCCTGGGTTGGGGGACGGCGCATGTGTGGCCCCGCCTCTGCGCCGGCAGCAAGGCGCATGCTCAGCCCAGTCCCTGTGATGGCAGCAGGACGCACCTGCCCGGCCCGGCCCAGCCCAGCCTGGCTACTGCTGCTGGTGCGCAGCCTGGGGCGGGCTGAGCCTGGCCGTGGGGCCACAGGGGGAAGGGCCCTGCTGGCCGGTGCTGTGGGGGTTAACATGGCCCCTGCCCCGGGCGGCCACTGCAGGGTGGCTGCTGGGAGCTGCTGCAGCCCGCGATCCGGGGGCCGGGCGTGCGGCGCTTGATGGCAGCTGTAAGCTGTGCGCCCCTTACAGCTGCCATCAGGCGTCCCCCCCCATAGGTTGGTGTCCTGGGCAGCTGCCCGGCTAGCCCATGCCTCAATCCGGCCCTGGGTGAATCGGAGGCTTTTGAGCCCTTGGGAGCCTTGTCTAAGTTTTAGCAGCCTCTCTAGGTTGTCTTATGGGCTGCAGCAATACCTGGAATTGCCACAATGCTGCTATCCCATCTCTGGCTTGCCCCTGATGCCAGAATGCGTGAATGGGTCCTTGGGGAACAGTGGGAGGGCTTTACTCCATCGGGTGGCATCAGGGGTCCCCTGGGTCCTAAAAGTCCTGGTTCTGTCTGTTTTAAGCCAAGTGACATTAACATGAGGGTAGAAGTCAGGACCTCACCTATCATTTCCATACTTCTCCCCTTTTAAAATCTCTCTCCTGATCTTTTAAACTTTGCCTCTAACTCAGGACTGTAGATTATTAACCTCTGGTCTATCAAACCCATTCACCCAATTCAACAAGCAGTGCTGGAGACCAGGATGTCTTGCTGCAGAACTGAGAACAGAGGGAACAGCTGTGCCAGGTCAAGCAGAGTTCTCCAGAAAGAACAGAGTCTTTGGGATTGGCGCATGGTGCTGTGAGAGGCCAGATTATTTCCTGCCCCATTTCACTGCAACCCATGTAATCAGTCCACTCAGATGGGATTTCACGAAGAATCCCTTGTTTACCTGCCTTACTTATTAAAGCAGCAAAGCAGACTGATCTTAATTTTCTGTAATAAGTAAAAAACCCTTTGATAGTCCCTCTGACCATCCACTTCCTGTGCCCCCAGCCTCACACTGGCAAAGTTATTTTTACTCGGTTATTTTATATTTACAAACCAGACTCGGGGACACAAAAAGTGCATTGAAAAGCACATGTCTCTGTGGTACATGCTGATGCTAAAAGGTAGCACAGGCAGACTGAAGAAGGGAAAAAACACTTTAGGCTTTAATGTGATCTCCTTTACACTGATGTCAATCAGGAGTTGCCACAGATGTGCTGCCATCATGATCTCTCAGGCCTTCTAGGGAGGCTTCGGAGGTAGCTACCGAGAGCCTGGATTCTTAAGATTAGTCACTGGTGGCTTTAGCTCAGGCATGAAATCAGAGGTGAAAAAAACAGTGACTGAAAATCTCAGACCCTGAAAGGTCTGGTTCAGATTAGTGTAAACAATGGGAGCAGGTTCCTGTAGGAGAGGGTGTGGGTTTATCCACGTGTATCAAAATCCTACCTGGAACACGGCATACAGCACTGTCAGTGGTACTATAGCCACTACTGCTACTGGCGTAGCCACTATCACAGCAATGTAGATCTCCAGTAAACTGAACAAGAATCCCAGCAAGGACTTCAGCTTGTCTGGGAGGCGTCTGCTCAAAGAACATCATTGGGGATCTGGCAACATTCTCCAGTAACTGCCGGAAAAGCTTGTGTGACGCTATTACTCCTCCTAGCAGGACGGCTGCAGTCGACCCGAATTTGCCAATGGCTGCAATGTAAGGGAAGGCAAGTCATGCAGACTTTGATTTCTCAGCTGAAAGGGCGATGGATGTGATCATGGTGCTGGTGAAAGGGGCTGGTCTAATATTATTGCTATTTATTATTTCTGTTGCGCTGGTGCCTCTGAGCCCCAATCGTGAATCAGGAATCCTTTATACATGTGCAAACGCCGAACAAAGATACAAACCCTGCACCAAGGGATTTACAGTCTAATGGTCCAAGTAATCTTCAGAGCTGAGGGCTGTAGCTCCGGAATAGCCACAGAACAGGCATCAGCACATGTAAAGGTAAATTTGATCTGACAGTTAATTCTGCCTCCTGCCAAATATTAGAAGCCTATGTTCTCCAATGTATGGGGCACATAAATGGAATTACTCTGAGTAAACTTTCTTGAGTCAGACTCCAGGTACCCAATTACATAATCAGTATTGCAGCAGGAGCTGTGCTATAAGTTAAGGTTGCCTAACAGCTTCCATTGTAAGCCCCTGTTCTAACTGGTTCAAAACTTTCACCATTTTGGTTTGCATTTTTCAGATTTAGTTTGTCTTAAATTGGTTTTTTTTTTCCCCTGGAAAGTTTCAGCAAAAAATTGTAGTTATTTTTTTGATTAGAAGAAGTTATAGAATAGACACATTTTGAATAATACAAATGATTGCAGCCTTTTAAAAACAGATTAAATCTGGCCCTCATTGAGAAATGTGATTTTAATTTGGTTAAGTTATGAGTTGAGTGAAGAGAGGATGGGAAGAGGGAGAGGGGAAGAGAGATAAATGGGAGTAGTGAATGAAACTGAGATAGAAAAGTGAAACTGAGGGCATCATCTCCCCCAGCCTGTGAAGTTGTCATGGGTACCGTATCATACAGTTCTGACAAAGAAAGGCCAGGGTGGCTAACGGTGGGGGAACTACTCATTAAGCTCTGTGCAATGTACACTAGAGAGAACACCAGTAAGCCAGAGTTGTAGGCAGTAATACTGGGAATATTGTTCAGATATCTTAACAAAAAACACACACCAAAAAATCAGTACACACTGGGCAAGTGTGCGTCAGAAGTTGTTTTTTTAGGACTTGTGCCAAGCCTCTTCAGTTGTTATCAAGAGCTCAGCAGACTAGGACACCAAGGACATGCCAAAGTTTGTATGATGGGAAAATGTCCTGGGAATGGCAAAGAGGGAGGCAAATGACATAGAGAAGAACTAGGTGACTGGGTCAAACAAACCTTGAAGGACTCCAAGAACAGCGAAGACTCCAACTCGCAGCTCTGTGTGCTGCTGCGTTCTGTTATGAACAGGGTCATCTGCCCACAAACTGAGCCAGTAACCACGACAAAACGAGGCAGCTTGCTGACACATGAACAAGAGCACGATGTACAAACAGATCAGAGGCCCTGTGGCCCTCAAGTAGTCCAGATAAATGGAAATATTGATCTGGAGGGAAGCAATCAAAGAGAAGAGAGGAATGGGGGGCAGAAGGGTCAGGCTTGTAAAGCTGTCAGTTCCTAAGCGAAGGAATGCTGCATCGTGTACGTTCTCTTGCACATCGCATGCCAGGAGAGCCTCATTAAACTCCTTTTCCTGTCAGCGAAGGATGAATTAACTACTTGTGTGAGTAACTGCTCACCAGCAGGAGTACATGGATCGCCATCTGGCCCATAATGTGAAACCATCTCTTTAATGTGATTCCCTTGGGCATAACTCTCCTTAAACACAATTGCATCCCCTTTAGGACTATGACTTGCCATTTGTCTCTGTTCTCTGTAACTGGGCTTGTACCTTTGACCTTGACTATTCTTTTCCCTCCCACATCTCCTAAGTCTCCTCATCAGCCTCCTACCCTGTGGCCTCTGTATGCGACACTTTGGCCTCCACTTCTGCTGAAACCCTCATCCATGCCTGCACCCTCTCACCTAGGTTAACGCACATCCCCTTTCTTTACCACCACATGACCCAACTCCGCCTTCCCCCGCATGGAAGAGTAACATCAGCACTTCCAGCCTTACATTCCAGGATAGGGTCCATCTGCCCTCCACGAAACTTACCTGATCTTACCAGTCACTTGTCTCTGTCCCTTCACATCGCTGTGGCCCAAATGATTCAAAAGACTTTCCTTCTGCAGCACAAGCCACTGAAGCAGCTTTGTATCACTCCACCCATCAGAATGGAAAGACTTTCTTCCTCAGGCCTATAATTTTCTCTCCCTCTGTTGCTGTTTTATTCTAATTTTCTAGCCATGTTAATTCTCTAAAGCATTTTTGGCGAACAAGATGCTACACTAAATAAGGTTGAACAGGACCAGCCCACTCAGCTGGTGCAAATTGGCATCCCTCTGATTTACATGGTGTTATGCTGATTTGTAGCAGCTAAGAATCTTAGTAAGTCCCTGTTGCAATAATAGGGATATTGTACATTTCATTACTCTAACAAGGAATTGCTGTAGTTACCTTGCTGGTTTGAACTTTCTCCCCTTCTGTTAATCTTCCTGAATCTTTTTGGGCTGTAGCAGTTGGGCAGACTTGATTTATGGCTTTGGCATCATCTCTCAGAATAGAAGATCTACCTGATCTGTCAATTTATAAAAGCAAAACAAACACCATGATTTTGTATCTAAGACCATGAAGTTTTTGAGTCTTACTTCAAGGACTGTGGTTCATGAGATTACTTTGAGCATTCTTTGCATTCAGGGCACACCTCCAGCAATAGGAATCCGGATCTGACTGGTGATGAACAAAACTTCTTAGAATCCAACTGCGGATTGGATGAAATGTTTGGTCTCAGTCCATTTCCTGGTGCACAGATGTTTAAATTCCCAGAATTGGCAACTATTATGGAATCTCAGCAAAGAGGCCAAGGATTAAATGGGTGCATGGACTAAAATGCCCTCTCGCAGCGGAAGTGCCACATTGGCAGACAGAGAAGTTTCCAGTACAGCTGCCAGTGCTTTTATAATTCTGAGGGTAACCCAACGGCTTTTAATGATGCCAATCCAGCCCCATCCAGAAGCAATGAAGGTTCACACTTAACTATGTGATGTACCACACAAGTGAATGCTTGTGGAATGAATCAAATATCTAAGCAAACTTTATTTATAGCAGTTAACTTGTTAATGGGATCTGAACATGCCTGTCAGTTACTGTGATTGACAATTCATCCATCAAAAATGTCTGTTCCTTGTTTACCTTGCCCTTTCTTATCCATTTTGTCTCTGTCCTGGCAGGATTGCTTACCTCCCTTTAACAGCCACCGGTTGATCTATGGTTTTAATACAAGAGAAGTGGCTCTATCAACATCATGATATCGATTATTATTAAAAGTGCTTAGATATGGTTGTACCTGTTCAGTCATGCATTTGGCCCATGGATACCACCTATTCATGGTCCAAACTCCACTGATCTCACTAAGCATCTTTCCATTGATCTGAATGGGCTTTGGTACCTAAGGCAGCTGTACACTCACCTGCAGAGCTTTCCTTGGGGCACAGTGTTTCTGGAAGTGATGATATCCTTGGTGCTCCCTGCAGCTGTGGAATAAATATTCTTGTATTACCTTACAGCTGCCGTTGTTCTGCTTAGCCTCTGAGAGACCGAGGGAACTTTGTAAAGAACTCCCTCGAAAGGTACATGTTTGTGAGTCACCTCAGCAAAGCTATGTGATGGCACAAGAACTAAATAACACCGTTAGTAGCTTTATCCTTGTCTACTGCGATAGTAGCATCCATGCATCATGCATAAATAGCTCCATTTATTGGGTGATAATTCAGTTAACTTGGCAGCAAGACCATTTTTTCCCAGGATAAATGGTCTGCTGGAATGCGTCACAGTATGAGACCTCATGGGAAAATGCCTGAGATTTCACGAATAGAAAAAAGCCAGTGGTTATTGATTGGATCTTCCCCTGTGCGAACAGTAGTGGATCCCACTGAGACAACATGCATTAATCAGAAAACATGTGACTCATGAAACTGAGAAGAGAGTTACACAGCCAGTGTACCTTGTAAGCCACAGTCCTCCTTTCCTTCTGCATTGTTAGCTGAACGGAGGAAGTCTGCAAAAGCCCCGTTTCTCTGTAAAAGTTCTTGGTAGGAGCCCATTTCAGAAATCTCTCCATCCACCATCAGAACAATATTGTCCACTTGGGGCAAAATGTTGATTGCGTGAGTCACCAGAACACGAGTCTACTTTAAATAAATATTGGTTTGAATAACTCCAACCATCTGCATATTGAAGGGATTGCACAGGTGAGCTCCCCGGTGCTGCTATTGTTCTAGTCAGTTTCACCATTGATATGACCATCACCTCTGAACTTCTCATCCTGGATGGCATTCCTTGGAATCTGTATCAAATTTATTTGAATGGGAAAATACTGGCCTGCAGGCTGGATACTGTTAGCCAGGGTTAGCCTCAGGCTGGCCATCGCCACTGTATTTACCTGCGCCTCTGCAGGTATGGGCGACTGTAGCACCTGTTGGCCATGAGTCACCATTCCCAGCCAATGAGAGCTGATGGAAAG